GAAATCCTGTATTCAAAGAAGTACTGTTTTAATAAAGATACTAATCTGACCGCAAAAGTTTTGCGGTCTCTTCTAGTAATAATAATACCTTTCATACAGTAAGAGAAATAAATCGCCAAAGTAAGGCATAATAATAAAAGTAACAGTAAGCTATAAGATTGCCTCACTTGCTTCTTCTAACTTAACTTGTGTGTCTGATATATCCACTTTATATGGCTGGACTTTTTTTTTTCCTCTTCGACAATGTCTTTTGTTACAGATACCAGTTTTTTCACACACATAGTACTACCTGAATTGTAGGTTCAATGTCATTAGTTGTAACTGTCTGTCAAACCCTAGATTAGCTAATGATACATTGTATAGTTTCTACTGCCCACGTTTTGTGGAAGAAGCTAATTTTCCGCTTCCTCTCCAAACAAGAAACGTCATGCAACTGATAAGATCCATGTTTAGAAACAGGAACTACATATACAACCTAAAGTGTAACTTTGTGGTTAAAGTCACAGTGTAAATATACAGTGTTGCAGGTTCTATCTTAACCTAGAACAGACTGTTTTTTCTGTATTTTTTTTATTATTTTTTAGTTTTGAGAGTGAATGCTCCTTTTCAAACCATGAACAAATAGTTTAATGCAAACGATATAAACGTCACAGTCCCTGGTTTATTTTGTAGATGACAAACAAGTGAAATGTCGTGGAAGTTTATAACTCGTGTAATGTAGATACTGTATTTCAAAAAGCACTTTATTTGTTGGAAAAACATGGCAGGAAAAGTAGAAGTACGTTTTTAAGATGTTCTACAAACACACAAACAATTTAGAATACGGTGAACATTTTACGCTGAAATTTTCGTCAAAAAAGATATCACTAATAAACATATGCGTCCGCAGGATGAGGAAAGGTGGCGTTTTCCCTTCCCCCTTGAATTTCAGAGGTCACCCCCCCCCCCCGAAAACACCTGGAATATATTCTGCAGACGCCCATGCTAATAAATGAAGTGCGCTTTGTCGGTTTAATACGCTTCATTTGCCTTTCAAATTCCGACTGACTATACAGTGTTTAATATTTATCAAACGATCAATAACTCTGTGTAATATTATCTGAGTGATGATAAATGTCATAGCAACAACAGCCTGTAGCAACAAGAGCCTGCAGCAACAACAACCTGTATTGCTCTATTCTTAAGATTATAAGGTATATGTTGTCCATGTTAAGTTGTATTTACTCGAAAATTATTCTAGTCAAGCTAGACGTTCTTCGTGGTCTGAAGTCTCCTAGAATAGTCGATCATATATTGAAGGCTATTTATCCTTAGGGGAGGGGGAGAGTCGTGTTGATTCACCGCTTTGACCATTGAGTTTTTTCTCCTAAGTTTCTTGGGAGGAGTAGGAGCAGATGATGTTGAGAACTTGAGTTGTGGCACACAATAGAAATTATGGCTTCCTGGACAGCGACTAAACAACACACAACGTAATGTCAACAGTGAAAGTTCAAGTCCCCTGGAGAGTTCCTAAACAATACCTGTACAGTAACTGTAATGTCACAATGGACTATCTGTGCTGTGTCCACTACGAGTATCAGAACCTAGTTTTTAGTAGTATGAGCTCTCGGACTTACCGCTGAGCTACTGGGGGGCGCGACAGTGAAAGCTGAGCCCCTTGGACAGCGACTAAACAACACGCACACCGATTGTAGTTTTGAGAGTGAACGACGAACCCTCTAAACAGCAACTAAACAACACAAACCAGTTGTAATGTCCACAATAGAAGATCAGTCCACTGGGCAGCGACTAAACAACACATACAACAATTGTAATGTAAACAGTGCAACATGAGCCCCCTGGGCAGCGACTAAACAACACATACAACAATTGTAATGTTAACAGTGTAACATGAGCCCCCTGGGCAGCGACTAAACAACACATACAACAATTGTAATGTTAAAAGTGTAACATGAGCCCCCTGGGCAGCGACTAAACAACACATACAACAATTCTAATGTAAACAGTGTAATATATGAGTCCATTTGGCAACGAAAAAACAATACATACAACAATTGCAATGTTAACAGTGCAACATGAGCCCCCTGGGCAGCGACTAAACAACACACACACACAATATGTTTAAGCCTCCGTGTTTTGCATGATAACAATGAAACCACATTTCATATTTTTGTATAACCTTTTTTTTCTTTACATCTAGTTTCCTTTCACTTAACTGAAAAACAAAAACGAAACTTAATGTTTTGACATTTCCTAACAGGTATTTAACCAACTGACCAGTGTAATCTAGAGTAGGAATTCAGAACAATAAGCTCGTATATGTTTTTTTAAACAGCGTGCAAGAATGGCTATGCCACATGACTAAGAGGTGATGTTATCCCATGAACAGAAAAGAAGAGCGTTACGATAGACTTCTAGATCGGACCTGCCATCTAGAGTAAAATAATGGAAGTGAAATAAGTTGCTATCTATTTCTACTGATACCGTGGTTGCGTTATAAAAAAGGAATTTGGCCATTTTCCTTGCATTCCTTTCTCCCTTAATGTCAATATGCTCGATCTAATTTTATTAAAACAAACAAACAAACAAAAAAGAAACAGGAAATTGATAAAACTTACTCCAAATAAATACAACTGCAGTGTCTGATAAAACATTCTAATGTATGTAGTACGGTCTGCCATCTAGGTGTCAAAAGTATAACTAAACTGACTAGCCTACCATTGACCAGGCAACCCACTATTGATATATTCAACCGCTTACTAACACCATTCCCCGTTGGGCTTAAAAACACCTGCTTTGATTCCTGCGTACGTAGAAAATTGGATTTTAAGGACTGTTATTAAAAAGATCAAATATATTCATAAAACCGGTATGAAGTCTACGTTGTTTACGACGTTCAATAATTTTTGTTATGATTACAAGTTGTCAATGATTATATTGAATGAGGTGAGTGGTAACATTGATTCTGTCCTTTATGTCTTGTTTGATCGTCGTAGCTTCTATGTGTTTTCTGTGTTATGAACCAAATTATTTTATCATTGTCGATCACGATGATAATGCAATATCTAGTACCGTAATTTATAAATTAGAATTATTTTATAATCTGTGAAATATTTCCTAATTCTGAAGACCGTTTTTAAGAAAGCGTTTTTCTGTTCACCTTCTCCCGTGTCCTAGGTAACGCATGTTACGTTGAGAGTCAGAAAATGTATCACTGTTACATGTACATGAGTTATTTGCATAGGTTGGTTGTTCCTTTGTGTTAAATTATCAACAAATAATATAGCTTTGGAGGAACAATTATATAGAAAAATATTCGTTTACTTATTTTTTGCATCTTTCAGAAGGTTTCATATAAATAGAAATAAAAATTCACTAAAAAACCTTTAAAAAAAGACTGGTTCACCACCAAGACTTTAATCACCTAATGAATTGAGAGTACTAAGCTATCTAAGTTTAGAATAAAATAAAATAAACCCGAGGCAGATATTTAGTTTTTTAAGGAAAGATGAACTTTTCTAAACTGGGGTGTTCGGGGATATTAATATTCCCCTTCGCCCCGCTCGCGAAAAAGAAAATATTGCTAAGATCGTGCGGTTAAAAGAAATTTCGGAGTTAATGCATACCTGCTAACTTGATTAGGGAGAGAGAAGACCAAGGCCGATCTAAGTTTATTTGTTTTGGATGTTCATGCAATTATACAGAAGGATTGCCTGCGCTAACCCTCCTTAATTTTGAATTGACAGGTTAAACAGATTAGCTGGATTTGATCTTTACTCGTATAACGCACTCGGCGGCAAGGAGACGTCAATCGTGTATCTGTATGATACTTTCTTTATTGGTTTTAACGTCCTTATACGCCTTGGTACCGGAAGGTTTTGGTTTCCCTAGTGTAGAATCTAGTTCTTTACAAAAAGTTGTAACATAATATTTTTTTAAATATAAAAACAAAGCGGTTGGCAGTTTAATCCACGGGAGTGATGACGTAACTACTGTGTAAAGAATTTAAATATTTGTTAACTTATGTTTTTTCATAACTTATTCATCGTGTTACTATACTGGATATGTATCATGTATTATGTTACTCTACTGGATATGTACCATGTATCATGTTATTATACTGGATATGTACCATGTATCATGTTATTATACTGGATATGTACCATGTATCATGTTACTATACTGGATATGTATCATGTATTATGTTACTATACTGGATATGTATCATGTATTATGTTACTATACTGGATATGTACCATGTATTATTTTACTCTACTGGATATGTACCATGTATCATGTTACTATACTGGATATGTACCATGTATTATGTTACTCTACTAGATATGTACCATGTATCATGCTACTGTACTAGATATGTACCATGTATTATGCTACTCTACTAGATATGTACCATGTATAACGTTACTATACTGGATATGTACCATGTATTATGTTACTCTACTGGATATGTACCATGTATTATGCTACTCTACTAGATATGTACCATGTATTATGTTACTGTACTGGATATGTACCATGTATTATGTTACTATACTGGATATGTACCATGTATCATGTTACTATACTGGATATGTACCATGTATCATGTTACTATACTGGATATGTACCATGTATCATGTTACTATACTAGATATGTACCATGTATTATGCTACTATACTGGATATGTACCATGTATTATGTTACTCTACTAGATATGTATCATGTATCATGCTACTGTACTAGATATGTATCATGTATTATGCTACTCTACTAGATATGTACCATGTATTATGTTACTATACTGGATATGTACCATGTTACTCTACTAGATATGTACCATGTATTATGTTACTCTACTGGATATGTACCATGTCTGTTAGAAATGTAGATACATCCTACAGTATTGTATACAACCTACATGTAGTGTGTTAGATTGTTAGAAATGTAGATACAATATAATAATATTTCCAGATAATTAGTGGATGTAACTCTTTCGTAGAATGAAGTCGACCGTTCACCTAGCAGCGAACATGGAATCATTATGGCTCCGACTCTAGCCGACGATAAGGGAACGTATTTTCGGGATGGGAAAAGAAAGATTGGTTAGTAGATTAACCTTGTGAGTTTTATCATTTCTCTAAGTTTTACACACGGTTTCTAAAATCACTAATATGTGACAATAAATAAGGATTTCAGATGTAGCTGCTTACTACAGATTTATTTAACATCAATGTCTGGATTAATTCAGACAAATATTGCAAACATTTCACTTTGTTGTTTGGCACAAATAGTTCTGGTCCTTGTGCCATAAAGCCACCAAAATCAACCAACCACACGGTTTGGCCAAGACAAAATGCATAACTAGAATTTAATGTTTTTAAACCTACTAATTTACAAATTTTTGATAATGTTTATGATTTCATGGGACACAGGGGCTAAGCGGCTGTGTTTGAAATATTTAAGGTTCAGACATAGCTTTATCCGATTTAATACTGCTTATGCGGGCTACTTTTAACCGAATAATGGGGGTTGACTGCCACATTTATAACATTCCTACAGCTGAAAGTGCAGCGCCATTCACAGCTCGAATCTTGAATGAACCTTTGGATCCTCAGCCCGACACCGAGGCCGAGCCAGGTTCATGCATAAAGCAAATATCTGGGAGGTGCGTTTTAAAAATAGATTGGTTAATTTAACTAAAAATAATTCCGCTCTCAAAAATTCGTCTGTATTGATAAATGTCATAAAATTCCAAGTAAACCAGACAGACTAGACAAATCAAAATTGGGTTTTATAGTTAAACTAACCAGACAAACTATACAAATCAAAACTAAGTTTTATAGTTTAACTGATCATCTCTTGCTGATCTCGATGTGGTACGAAGTTTTACACACAGGTTATTTTACGTTGTGAGCACACCGGTGATTACCTGACCCTGTGTGGCTTGTGATGTTACCGCTTAGGTAACTACTATAAACTGTCGTTAGTAACCTGTAGGTTACGTCCTATAATCTATGTATTATGGTTATTACTTAAAAGACATACATTATGGATCCATGTAATTTACATTGTACAGAATTAAATGTGTAGCAAGGGAGAGGTTACTGGCTGTTTTTACTATAAGTTATTGAGTGAATGCCTACTGTATTTGTAGATTTTGTATTGGTTTATGAGGAGCCAATAAGGGAAGCTTTCAACATTTTTTGTTTTGCAGATTTTGTATTGGTTTATGAGGAGCCAATAAGGGAAGCTTTCAACATTTTTTGTTATTGCAGATTTTGTATTGAATTCAAATTCTTTATTTTTATCTACGTAAAACTGATTCACGCACACCACAACTCTGTGGTATTCCTAAACCACACAAATAGGACTGCCCCCTACGACCTATATTGTCCACTTATGATTCATTCAACTACAATCTTGGCAAATACATAGCCTGGGATCTCACACCATATGTAACATCTGCAGGTTAATTTTTTAAAGATGCCTTCAATTTGAAATATACACTAGAACAATTAAATTCGAAAGCCTTCATGGCTAGTTTTGATGTCGTGTCACTCTTCACTGAAGTCCCCGCCAATGAAGCTTGCAATATTGCACTCAACCTATACATTAATGACCCCAACAAGTTAATGCACATCCCCAGTACACTTTTTGCTTCTCTCTTAGAATTTACAACTACTAAAACTAACTTCATTTTCAACAACGAACATTTCCTTCAAATAGGTGGTTTAAGTATGGGCAATCCTGTTTCGCCCGTTCTTGCCAATATATTCATGACCCTGATCGAAACACAAGCCATACATTCTGCGCTTCATGCCCCACTATACTGGTACAGATATGTCGATGACACTTTTGCTGGCTTCGCTTCTACAGAACACACACTAACTTTCTTTAAACACATAAATTCCATTCGTCCCAACATCAAATTTACCATAGAACACGAAAACAATTAACAGTTATCCTTTCTTAACCTCAAAATTATTAGATCGGACACACAGTTTAAAACCAAAATTCACCGCAAAAACACACACACTGGTCTCTACATCCCCTGGAATTCCGCACATGACACCACACAAAACATCAATACACTTAAAAACCTCATAAACACAGCCACAAGACTCTGTTCAACGGACTATATAAATGAAAAATTAACCACATAAAGCATTCCTTCATTCACACCAATAAATTCCCACCAGCTATAGTTGAAAAACTCTCCAACATTCACCACAACAAAACTCAACTCACCAACAAAACTGACAATAACAAACCCAACAACAGTACATTACATTGCAGTTTACATTTTGTTCATGAAACCAGCTCAAGAATTATTCACACTTGGACAAAACTAGACATTAAACAC